GACAAGAGTCTCTGACATCTTCCAGATGATTCCTGAGTGAAACGGAATTTCCTGTCATCCGTTCAGGTGACGGGGACAGTATATTTGGCCTCTCACCTAGATCTTTACTGTAACCTTGGCTCTCCAAGTTACGGAACACATAATCCCAGCTTTCAAAAGTTCCAGTACCATCCTCCTTAGCTTTGCTAGACGTTAGTGGTTGACAATGACCTTTTTGGGGGCTGGTGTTATAATTGCAAGGATGAGGCTGCTGTACCTCTTGTCTATAGCTATCTTGCTGTCTCTCATTACTTTTCCTCAGGGCTACACTTTTTTGATTCTGAGTGGAGCCATGATTACGTACATTTCGAGGGACCACAACGGAAGATGCTGACTCTGTGGCTGAGTATATCTGCTGGGTCTCACTGTTACTACTCTGTGGTGGAGCCACCACATCAAGCTCAATAAGCTGACCAGTTGGAACTGGACAATTCAAATTCTGTACTTGTACTGAAGCAGATGATAACTGAGTTGAAACAGAATATCCATTCTGTAATGGTAGTGGAGCCACTGTCATTGGTGTTGAGTAATTATGATGAGTGTGATGGCCATTAGTAGGGTAAAGATCCTGAGATTTCAGCACTGGGTGATGTAATCCAGAAATATGGTGATAAGCTGGGTGTACTGTTGTTGGAACAGGGTAGGTCATTGTGGGTGGAATAGCTTGATGGGGGCTTATGATACTAGCATACCTTGGCTGGGGTGGAAGAGTGTATGCATGTGGTGGTCCAGTAGGGAATGGCGGGTAGTTATAATACCCCATGTGAGGCACAGGGTGCAGGGGTTGTATCTGACTGTACATACAGGCACCAGTTGGCTGGTGAAATCTTGCTGTTGTGCCATATGTGTCCATTGCTGTTCCCTGATGATAGGCTGCTAACTGCTGCTGCTCTTGGTACTGGCGCTGATGAAAGTGATACACGAGTCCTTTTGCTGCATTCTCAGCCGTTCCAACATGATTTTCACGAAACTCCAACACTTCTAGCCAGCTGCAGTTGAAACAGTATGATACTTCTTCCCAGATGTTTTTTAGCAACTGTTGTGATAACACAAAGATATTTCACAGGAAAGAATGCAGTTAACATAAAATGTGTTTATGTTCCCATAAATATACTAAATATCAAGTGTCCAACCATTTGTTTGTATGTCCATTACAGGACAGTCTGATAATTCCCATTCATGTGAAGAAATCTTCCGTGCACAATAAAATGGTAGAACCCACCTTAGAGTCACCACTAAAAAGATAGAAAATGGGTTGTCCTTAAAAGGACATGATGAATGGTCTAATTCATACTTAACCATTCATATATAAAATATATATGTATCTAGTCAATATTATTATTAACCTAAAAGAAAGATAATTATCTAACTTAAATGAAAAATAAACATACAATGAAATGGCTGTTTGCTCACCTGGCATTCCACAAATGCCATCAGTGAATCTCGTGACACATTGGACACCCTGTCAGGATCAATAGGTCCATCCAGTACCATTATTGTTTGTCCTGCATGCTTATATCCCATTGCTTGAAGCATCATTTCTGCCCCAGCAAGATTAGCTTCAATTTCATGCTTGTAGAAACCACAAAACAACTAAGGACAAAAGAAGCATAAGACCAATTACAGTCAGAAAGTTCAAACCTCAGATCCAAATTCCCTCTTGCTCTCAATTACAAGATGGTGTTTTTTGTGAACATAGTGAGAATGGCATTGGTGACATAACATTTCATACATTAAAAAAAGTAACAGTTTATGAAACACAAATGGAACCTCAGCAATGAAAAAGAGATAGAGATATTAGAGGAACAGGCTGTGATGGTGTGAACTGGATTGAACATACTCAGTACAGGACCTAATGACTTGTTTTGTTTAACCTCTGGGTTGTTGATGATATAAGCAACTACCAAGTTCTCAAGAAAGGCCCTGCAATTATGTAATAATAAAACTACAGGTCAGTAATACATAAAATTGACAAACCTTCATTTCTCTATACTCCTTCCTCCATGGTTGGGCCAGCAAATTTGCAGCATACATTCCAATGGCATTCCAAGCTGATGCTGCCCGGTAACCACTGAAATCTTCCTTCTGAGTGGCACTTCGATGCAGTACATCAGCAGTTTCACGGAAACTGAACTTTCTATCATGGGGAACAAGGCACAAATATTCCTTGATATATCCTGAAAAACAGAGATGCAACAGAATCATTACATTAAATACAGGAAATTCGATATGGCAGGTTCAT